ACCTCGGTTGTGGGCCTCTACAGGAGGCCGGGGACACGTGATGCGCCCGGGTCCGTTTTATCTGCGGCCGAGTACGGCTTGTGCTTCCTCCGCTCGCTGCGTCCCACAAGCTCCCTTTAATGAAATTGGATACGAACTTCTCAAGGGATCAACTTGCAACTAATTGGCTGGGGCTTGTTTGGTTTAGGCTGGGCCCCAGTGGCGTTATCGTCGTTTACAGAAGTCTGTGGGCGTTAAGCGCCGACTGTTCACCCCAGCCACCACCCGACTTATGGCGAACGTAAATTGACCACACCACCACTTTCCAAAAAGTCGACTTACATGCCGTACAGTACCATGAATGTAAGCCTATTTGTTTGCCGCTGCGAATACGGTTTGAAGCGGATGTCCCAAGGCTCACCTGCCTAATGTCTATCGTCAGGTGTTCGATCGCTGGAAATGCGCCTATGATCAACTTGTCTCTGCCATGGATAGCTTTATGGCGGAATGCGTAAATCTTGACTTGGCACTACAACAACCTGGCGCTGGTAGTTGGTCAGAGTTGGATTCAGTGCTTGCCGTCGTCGACGCGACCGTCTCTTCGCTCGAAGCACACCCGAAAATTCGTAGCGCACGGGCGATTCTTGGTGCGACACGGAACCGATCTAGGTCGCTCGTCCCATTTAACAAACTTCCCGCCGACCTTATCGTTTACATCATGTCTTTCGTTAACAACAACTGCGCTATCGATTACTACTGGGAAATCAGTGGTGGGGAATTACAACCATTCCATCCGCTTGCTAGCGTTCTACTCGTTAACAAGCCCTTGCGAGATCTTTTGATTCGGACACCATCGCTTTGGACCCATATCGATCTATTCCCCACCGGTCCTCATGAAGAAACCTATAGGCGTTACGCCCAAGCTTGCCTGAGATACTCTGGGGAATCCCCTCTACACGTTCATATAATGGAGGATGAACCAAGTAACAGCCCTGAAATCACAAGTTTGGTCGGTCTCTTGGGACCCCACACACATCGAATCGTCTCACTTTACCTTCGACTTTCAGTAAGCCTGCAACGTAAAATCCTGCTAGGCTTATATGAAGATACCACTTCGCCTCAACTGAAGAACTTGTGCCTCGCCGACTATAGCCCTAGAGTCGATAAGGATCTTTGTGACCGGCTCTTTGACGGTCGTTTGGATGGGCTCCTGCAATCTTTACGGGGGCTTGCGATGATTGGGCGCCTTACTTCTCTGAACAGCTCTGTTTATCGTGGTCTTGCCTCTCTTAAACTCATTTCACGAATACAGCCGAGAGATAAACCTACAAAACTGCAATTTACGAATGTCCTAGCAGCCTGCCCGCAACTGCGCGTTCTTGCACTCCTTCACTGCGTGTTTGAACCAACACCTGGGGCGCCAATCCAACCCGTGTTCCTTCCGAACCTCGAGCTACACGACTTGCGACTAGCAGAAGCCGGCGGCCTTTTAGACATATTGTCATGTATAACTCTTGGGCCAAACGCAATAGTCTTTGGCATGGGCTTTGACTCGGATATGTCTGAGCGCGAAATGGCCACGTTGGAGGACTTTTTCAAGCATTCGACGGTCACGCGGCTTTGCATAGATTGCCTTCGTCGCGATGAGGGTCTGGATTGGGTATTTAGTTTCTCCGCGAGAATTTTCGCAAATGTTCAGGAACTTGCGCTTAATGGTTTCGATCTCATGGGGGGTGTGGGTTGGCGACCATTGGACACAAGACGTTTTCCAGCCCTTCATACGTTGCATTTGCTAGCATGCCAGTTTGATGCGGACATTTGCTGCCAGCTTCTCGAATCCTCCGCAGTCCAAACGCTTCAGGCAGATCTGGCAAATTATGTGGGAGACTTACTTGGAGTTGCTCCACCTGTGAAATACCGCACATATTCTTCCTTGTGCGAGGGTGAGAGTGACCTCGAATGGCCCATTTGCTTAGTGTAGTTGCCTTCTCGCCTTTTATGTGTAATTCAGACGAACCAATTATCTAAATTCGTACGAATATCTCCCAATGAGTATGTCAAAACAGGGCTGGTGCAGTTAACCCTTAAATAGCGGAGACATGCACCTTATGCTGTCAGCGCTTGTCCTTTCAACAAATGTCGGGATAAACCACACAATATTATCAGCATACAAGGACAGATTAAGTGGACATGTCGTCTCTCAGCGCGCAGGGGGTGGGTGCAAAAAGAATTAAATTGGGCGCTTAACTTCCCTAGAACTGTGGCGCTTGATCCGGGACACTAGTCAAGGTCTCGAGATTTGTCCCACTTGCCTCTCTCTGAGGGCTAATCGTTCCATGTCTTTCCGTTATTGCTTTGAATCTGTTGGGAAAAGATATGTGCATTTAGCCCATCCATATATGCCAACAATTTAACTTGCGGAACGTCCAGATGGGGGTATAGCTGAAAGTCGTTCAATTCTCACGAAATTTTGCAGGGACCTCCAGGTTGTTAGAGCGACCTCGACAATGCTTATTCTGTTGCATTTCACCTGGGAATTATGAGACAGCCGGCAAAATACTATCATACGAACTTTCGGCGCTTATATCAGGACCAGGCAAACTGCGCCGTTGCTCCCGCTTGTTTTTTGAGTAAAAATAATGAATCCAGAGGCCGTAAAAGGCAATGACGAGAGTGGGATTCGAACCCACGCCCTAGAAAGGACACGGAGAGGAAAACGAGCCTGAACCGTGCGCCGTAGACCACTTGGCTATCTCGCCTGATTTGATAGGATAAGGCCAATTTCAAGTCCCCAATCGAGTTTCGATTGTTTTGGGTCCCTGCTCTATGTTTCAGACTACCAAAGGAAGTTTTGGAGCAATAAACAGGTGTGGGACCCATACGGAGAGTGAAAGGTAATTTCGACAAGCATTCAGTTGGGTGTGGGGAAAAGAATCCAGAGATCAGTAAGTCACGTGGAAAATCAAATCAGATCGACTCCGCTAATCCTTCCAGCACTAGATACAATAGGCAAGGTAACCTCGCCCTATATATTTTGAGACAATAAACATATGAGGTCAACTCTATATGCATACCAGCTCACGAAATCGAGATAACCTGCTGGAACCGTACAGAAGGGCTTAGACACTGCAATTTGTGGCCCGCTTTGTGTATTAATAGTGTAACTTAGCTAGGTGCACTCGCATCCAATCCTATGCGCCTGTAGCCTGTGCGGGGGAGACATTCGGCTGCCCGGTGGGACGGTGGATAGTCACGTGACCTTGTCACCCTCGCCACTCTGATGACGCCACTGACTTGCCTTAGACTACCTTGTGTTTACATTTGTAGCTTAGGGTTGTTTCCAGAACACTGAAGATACCTCTCGTTTGAACCCTGCTTAGATCCCCTACTACGATGATTTTTTGCCATGCTCCAAGTCGAGACAACTCAGTCTCCTCACTTACATACTATCTCTCCCAGTGGGAATCTGCTCCACAAAGCCTGTGGGATGGCACCGATAGTGTTGGAGGTATGAGTGAAGTGGGCGCTCAATTATAGAGTCCTTTCCTCTCGTATCACATGCATGTAAGTAATCGCTCGCCCTCGACCACTAGCTCGCCCCACACTGACGCGCCCTATTTCTTCTCGTCCTACTTCGACCCCTCTCTTACTTGCCCCATCCGCCGACCATCATAGTATCCCCGCTCATCTCAGCGGGTCGTGCTCACGATCCAGGCTCCAGTCACCCCGGCCGCCTTCGGCGGCTCGGGCGTCTCCCAATCCTACAAGGAGACTGGCGCAGTTCGAACTTCATCTATATTATGTACATATACCCAAACCTAATCCATTTTCTCCTTTTTACCTACACGCCCCAGGCAAGCCGCGGCGGACGCAACCGCCGGTCCCTGCAGTGCTAGACTAATATTATCATCTAGCCTCTGTTGTTTTCTCTACCTGGTTGTCAGGTTGGCAAGTGGGCAAGAGGAGATTTTGAAGGATGTATGCGACAGCAAGAATGGTTCGAAAGAGTGGCTGACGACCTCGAGACACAATCCTCAAGCTATAACTCATCCGACCCCCGGCACTGGATCTCCTGTGACAACGCCGCCAGTCCCCCCGCTGCTGGGACCAGCAGACAGCGGGTGGTCCCGGGCAAGCGACGTCGAACACAGGAGCGCAATAGATTCATATCAGAGGTGGGACGTAGGATGCTCGGGATGGGCTCGTGCTCGTGTAGGGTATTGGGGTCGCCGTATGGATATTGTTGTCGCGTCGATCTCGTTTGTTTCTCATTCCCCTTCCCATCCTCGTATAGCCCCCCCCCCCCCTTCCCATCATCACTCTCATCCTGGTCCTCCCGTGGACCCGAGATTTAATCTACCATCCAGACGCTCGCCTCGACTCTACACCCCATAAGATAATCAGCATACATCCATAGTATTGACACTTTGCGCGTACTTTTCCTCGCCTTGCTTTTCCTCTTCTTGTTCTTTTTCCGCGAACTTGCCACCGGCACCGGCATCTCGGCTTCAACAGGTTGGGCAACAGGCGGGATCTGTGTCCAAGTCGCATAGGGTATATACGCCTCAAGGACAGGTCGCCACGATTTGCCTGAGAGGCAGTTAGCCGGTCTGAACAAAAGAGCCAGCTACCTAACTCACCCCATGTGTTTGCCGAGGTCCCCAATACGTTCGTAAGTGCTTCGCCATGCTACAACCCGACATGAATAGAACTGCGAGCGCATGAACAGTGTGAGTTGCGGGTAGTCGGTGTACAGAGAACGATCACTTACTGTGAGCCAGGTTGAATATCGACCGAGCAAAGCAAAGGACCTGGCGGAGAATGAACTTGATGCAGATAATAACTAGAGTAACGGGTGCATTAGTACGTTTTGACAAAATTAAAGACGTGATGGACCCACTTATGAAGGCGATGCAGCGGATAGCAAGCAGCCCGACCAGGCACGCGCGCACATATATGACGTATGGCTCGTCGCTCAGGACGTTCAAGCTCAATGCGAACTCGTTGGAATGGGGAGGCGGCTCGTACACAATAAGCGAAGTCGGGCCCTCCAGCTCATTGAGTAGCGCAAGGTTTGGCCGATATGCGGGCAGGGTGGAGGGGGTGATTGTAGGGGCGTCGGAGGAGGGGCCAGCAGGGCACGTTCCCAGCGTCGGGGGTATACACGTGTCGACCCGCGGGAACAAACCAGCGACCCCGCATATACTCGCCACCGAAAGAATATGAAGTTTAGAACGAACAATGGGCAGCGACAATATGACGAATTCCGTCTGGAAAACATATGCAGAGGGAATAAGGCGTGCCGCGTAGCCGTCGCCGGTCCACAAGATGGACTCGTTGAACGTCTCCGGGTGCAACCACAGACCCGGGGTAGGTGCCGACTCCGTTGCGAGAAGAGGGGTAGGTGTGATAAATCTCTTGGAGAGATATTCGCGCTGTCGGTTCAGGGCATCGGCCACCCGAGTCACGACACGGCGACCAAGCGTGATGAGCCCCTCGAGACCAAAGCTTCACCGATGTCTGTAGGGCTTCGGGTGCAGGTAGGAACGCGCTGACAGGGAGCTGAAGCCTAGAACGACCGAGGCCGGCATATCTAAGGACGACGGTAAGACCATGTCAGACTATGGGCAGGCCACTTACGTGACGAAGTGCGCAGCCCGAACACTGGCATCAACAGCAGCAGCTTCAAGGTACGTAGGCAGGTCATAGGACATGAAAGTAGGGATGAGATACTTGAGGGTTGAAATTGCAAAGATGACTGGACCAAGGGGCAACATGCGGCAGGTTCTAAGGGCAGCATCGTAGGAGCGCACAGTATAAGTACCAGATAGTGGAGTGTATGAATAGCTGCTGCTTACTGTGAGCGAGGTTGAACATTGACCGAGCAAGGTGAAGGTCTAGGTGGAAAGTGAATTCGATGGAACCAAGGACTAAAATGATAGGCATGTCAATAAGCTTTGGCAGGAGCTATGGCGTATGGACTCACTTATGAAGGGCGGCACAGCAAGCGACAAGGAGTGTGACTATGTACGTACGCACGTTTATAATGATGTATGACCTATTGCTCAGGACGTTCAAGCTCCGCGCGAAATGGGCAGAATCGGCGGGTGGTTTGTACACCACGGGCGAGGTTGGCCCCTCCGGCTCGTTAGTAGCTCAATGTTTGACCTACGCTGCACAAGGTTGGTGGAGTAGGGGGCCTTGAATCGAAGAGGTCTGTCGCGTACGCACTAAGAATTGGGAGCGGATATATACTAAGCCGAACTACCGAAAGGTGGGAGAGGCAGGGTAAGTATTGGGGCGAAGGCAGGATAACTGTATGGAATATAGATAAGGGTAGGGGCAAATATGGACGACTCGTTGTAGCCTAGCCATGAGTCTCGCCGAGATAGTACGCCCGTTCACTCGCCAACAGGACCGCAGGTTGAGTATGAACCACTATGTTGAGGTGATGCTTAGATTGTCGCTGGATAGAGAAACGACGACCTTCGAGGTCTTGGCAAAGTCCAACACACGCTCGAGAACGCTGACACCTGAGCGCCATGTCGCGACAGCCGCTGGCGCGGCGTATAGGACCGTGTCGATTGCCCCCAGTGCCCCGAGGTTGGCACAAACGCGCCGATGGGTAGCTGTAGCCCGACCGGGTAAGAGCGGCATACCTAGAGAGAACGTTAGACTATGTCGAATCATAGGCAAGCGACCTACGTGGCATAGTGGGCGGCACGCAGCCCGGCGTCGACGGCAGTGATACCGGTGTAGGTGGATGCGTCGTGGGTGGTGAGGACGCAGAGAAGCAAGAACTTGGTGAGCACAGGGGTTGGGTAGAAGAACAACATGGTGGTGGATCAGGGAGGGAGGGCCTCGCAAGGTGGGGGGTTTTATAGTCTAGCATTTGCCCGGCCAAGACGTGAGGACGTAGAGAAATGGGAACTTGGATAGCGCAAGGGCTGGGTAGAAGAACTGTAGCGAGGCAATCGCGTCGTATTAGAGTACGCATAGTGAGAGGGAGGTAGAAACGACTGGGTTGTGCCGCAGGCGCGGGCAAGGCTATATACATGGAAGATAGGGGTCAGGGGTCGGACCCTACAGTCGGGCCGATCCGTCCCGCGCTCCACAACGGGAACAACATCGTGGGGGACTCTGCAAAGGAAAATCTCACCAGGGATTTACATTCTATTCTTTCCTCGGCCACAAAGCCATCCCCATTATCGCTCCTCATCTTTCTTCAGAGAAGGCTGTGAAATGTCATGTGATGAAGCCGCGTCTCGACCAAGCCCGCATATCCCGTCTCGTGGTCCGCAAATATCAACATGGGGGGATTGGGGGGTATTTTGGCACTTTATGGCACTTGCGGGGTGTAAAGGCGGGGAACAGCAGAGGAAAGCAGTTAACGCGTCGAGTCACGTGATCTCAAGCTGTCTCAAACCACCCCTTTCTTCGGCCTTTTCCCAGAAACCGCTGCATCACTGGTGGTCGGTAATTGGTTGTTCTCTTATATTCCCAAGTTCCCATGTGCTCGGTAAATTGATCGGCTATAGGAGACGCTTTTGGGGCGCTTCCTTTTCTCAGAATTCAGCTCATACGCTACGGCTCACCCCAACTTGGTTCCTGTTCGGGGGCAATCGAATTGGGTCTGGAAGCTCAGTTGATTTATGCCGTATACGCCTATAGCTTTGGTTTCATATACAGCTGAAGGGAAGGCCGGACCTACCGTTCTCTCTGCATGAGGTTCATAATTCTGAATGCTTGCCACAGAGCG